CGCGCGAGGTTGAGATAGGTGAGCCCCGGCGCCTTCAGAAGCGCCGCGGAGAAGCTCCGAAGCACGTCCGGGCCGAAGCCGTTCGCGGCCAAATCCAGCGACGCGAGGCTCTTGTTCTCCTGGAGGGCCAGGGCCAACCCGCGGCCGCTCTTCGTGCCCAGGCCGTTCTCCTTCAGATCGAGGTGCACGAGGTGGTGGTTCTTCTTGAGGGCCGCGGCGAACGCGACGCCGACGCCCGCGCCTGTGTGGAATTCAAATCTTCAACCCGACTTCAATGTGAGTGTATGCGACAGTTTCGACGCAAGCTCTTCGGCTATAGTCGAGAACTCGACGAGAGCAATCGATTCGTCCAAAAATCAGCCGAATCGACTTCGATTTGACCGAGATAGAGAGGTTTGAAGTTTTGCTGGACGCGTCCATTCCACTGGTTGATTTCCACACAGGCCCGCGCCGAAGCGGTTCCGCGACGCGTCCAGGTGCGTGAGCTGCACGCGGCTCCGCAGCGCGTGGGCCAGGTGCTTCCCGCCGTCGGCGCGGAGCTCGTTGCCCGCGAAGCCCAGGGTCCGGAGCGCCGACTGCGGGTTCCGCCGGAACGACTGGTCGAGCGCCTGCGCGGCGTCGGCGCCGAGGCGGTTGTTCGACACGTCGAGCGCGGTGATCGTGCCGTTGACGCGGAGCGCGTGGCAGATCTTCGGGCCCGACGACGGCAGGAAGTCGCGCGTGTACTCGTTGCTGTAGGAGAGGCAGGGGCCGAGCTGGTTGTCCGCCAAGTTCAACGTGCGGATCGTGATGTTCCGCCGCATCATCGACCCGAGCGCGTCGCCCGCGTTCGGGCCCAGCCGATTCTGCGCGAGGGACACGAGCGTCAGCGACTCGTTCTTCTTCAACGCTTTGGCCAGAGCGACGCCGCCGTCGTCGTCGATGTTGTTGTAGCGCAGGTCCAGGTACGTGAGCGTCTTGTTCGCGGCGATGGCGCGCGCGGCGAACTGGCCCATCTTGCCGTCGAGGCGGTTCATGCGCGCGTCGATGC